GCCAAGCTGAGCACCGAGCACTGTCAGCCCCTGCTCTGGTCCCCTCCCAGTCCTCCTGCCTCCCTGAGCCCTGGGGCTCCCATCTGTGGAGCTACATGGGCACAATGCCAGGCCAGATGGTAAAGATGGGAAAAACTGCCAAGGAGGAGGCAAACAGGAAGCGGCAGGAGTGTCGCTTCGGAGGAGGGGTGCCCCCAAGGGAGAGGTCAGGCTGAGGGGGATGCAGGCTTGGCGGGGTACAGGCTGGGGGGGCGACGACAAGGCTGATGGAGACACAGGCCGGGGGGCGGGGGACACAGGAATCCAGACAAGAGCAGCTGCCTCCACAGAAGGGCCGCCGGTCTAATTTCATCTGGGAGCAGGAGGGACAGGGAGGCAGGCAAAGCTTCAGTGCACAGGCAGCACACCGATGGGGGGATGAGCACCCCCCTGCACGTGTGCGTGCACAGATACACAGAGATGACTTGCAAGCCAGTGCGCGCGTGTGCGCTGTAACGCACAGGCGTGATTAGATAGCCAGACACATGAGCTAAGGGGTCCCAAGTGTGTCCTCCGACGGACTTGCACCCATCCCCACCCAGGGCACTGGGGCACGGAAACCCATCTCCATGGCGGCAGCAGGGAGGTGCCTCAGCCGTCTCCCCCAACCCACCGTGCCTCAATTCCCACACCTTTGCTTCTCCCGCCTGGCCTCAAGGGCCGGCCTGGCTGAGATTAACCAGGGGGCCGGGCTACTTTCTGCCACAGACAGGAAGTGGAGCCAGGAATCACAGTGGGCAGGAGGCAGATTTGATGGTTTCCTCACTGTCCCTAACACCCTGCCCTCTGCACCTGCTCGGCGACTGGCCAGCAGCGTGGAGGGAGCTGAGGACAAAGGACGAGGAGACTTGGGACAAGATGGGGACAGGGAGGGGGACAGAATACCATTGTCCAACTCTGCCCCACCTGCCCGCGCCCTCCACTTGTGCCTGAATCAGTAAGTGCAAAGCTTCCCAGCTCTCAGTGATATAAACAGTCTGCTGTGGCACTCGTGCCCTGGTTTTGCCATCACTGCGCTAAATCCTCTCTTTGCCTCCAAATAATTCACATCTTTTTGCCTTTTCCTAGAGTCAGAAATTTGTTTATATGTTTTTTTTTTGTTTTTTGTTTTTGGTACCAGGGATCGAACTCCTGTCCTTGTGCTTGCAAGACAGGCACTGGAACCATTGAGCTAAATCCCTGGCCCTGTTTGTTTGTTTGTTTGTTTATATATATATTATTTAATTTATTTTTTTTAGAGTCAGAAATTTGAAAGAGACCCTGGGACCTCCCCATCTTCCTTGGGCTCTGGGTAGCCCCAACCTTGCTTGGGTGCTCCTGGCCCATCAGCATGTCATGCAGAGCACAGGAAGCGCTGGCCCCCTTTGGCAAGTACTCTAACCCACTGCCTAAATCAGCCAAGCCCACTTCCCTCTGTGGTGTCTGTTCAGGTGCCATGGGAGGGAGGGGCCTGACCTTCTTGTCCAAGAACCCAGGCTCCCCAGATGGCCCCACTGTGCTGGCCTCCAGCACCCAACCTGAAAGCTCAGTCCCAGAGCTGCTTCAGGGGCGCAAGTGAACCCTGCTCAGTGCTGACCTGGGTCTGAATGGAAGGGCCGTGTGGACACAGCCCCAGGCGGCCAGGACCTCTACTCCAGGGATGCAGGGGCATCCGGGGTGTGAGGGGCCCCAGCCTTCCTGAAGGGGTCTCCAGCTCCACGCACCCCTCCGCCTTTCCAGAACCGTCCCCCGCTCTGCCTTCTTCCTCCTTGGCATGCAGACCTTGTCCCTCCCAATGCTCTTCTAGGAAGAGGCAGAAATCACAGGTGGCTGGAGCTCAGTAAAGCTACCCTGACGTGTGGCTGACACCTCACCACCTGCATGTCTCCTCCACCCTGCTCTCAGGGAGGAAAACAGGAAATGAAGTCCCAAGCAAGACAAGGCTGGGCCTCCCAAGCCTGCAGGTATCTACGGTGCCTTTGCTTTCTGCGGGGTGAGCCCAGCCTCTTCCGGGTGACCTCCTCTGACTCTTGGCCTCTGTGACCTTGTTTTGAACTTGGTGTCCTCACTGGCATTCACCCTCACCCTGGGTTTTAGTTATTGCTGAAGCCAGACCACACATGCTAGGCAGTCACTCACTCCACCGCCCACCCTCCTTTCCGCTGTCTCCTCCCCCATTTTTTCAAGGGAGCACACTGGGGTGACAGGGTGGGGAGCTGGGCCCTAACAGCTCACCCACACAGGTATCTCCACGACTTGGGCTCCCTTAGGAGGAGGGGTTTTTGGAGGTCCAGCCTGCTGGACCCCTTTGTGGGTCTACATGTGGTTAGGTGGGCAGTGGCCTCCCATGGTGTCCCCACCTGTGCTTAGTACCTCATGTCCTCCCTTTCATAGGCCTCATGTGTCACGGCCGTGGGGACATCAGAGGCCACACAGCCCATGCTCTTCTACAGATGATTCCTGTGAAGAGTGTCTTGGGGGCTGAACATGGCTCAACTGCCCACCATGCTGCAGGCCTGCGTTCAAACCCCAGTATTACAAAAAGGAGAGACAGCCAGTAGTGCATCCCAGCACTCAGGAGGCTGAGGCAGGAGGATCACCATGAGTACAAGGACAGCCTGGGCTACACAGTGAGCTCAACACCAGTCTAAACTGCATGGTGACACAGAGACAGATTAAGACAAATAAAATATACCTTGGGCACAGGCTTGGTAGACAATGCCTGTGATCCTGGCACTGTGAGGGCTGAGACAAATGAATCCCACATTTGGGACAAACTGGGGAAACTTGTCAACTTAGTGAACCTCTATCTCAAAATGAAAACAAGCCGGGCATGGTGGCACACGCCTGTAATCCCAGCACTTGGGAGGCTGGGGCAGGAGGATCGCTGTGAGTTCCAGACCAGCCTGGGATACATAGTGAGTTCCAGGTCAGTCTCAACTACATAGTGAGACCCTGTCTCAAAAAAACAAAAAAGGGCTAAGGATGTAGCTCAGGGTTCAGGCCCCAGTACTTCAAGAGTGAAACACCTCAGTTACCTGGAAGAATAAACAAGGCACCCATGCCAGTGAACTCATCAGGCGAACTGAATAGTTAGCTCTGGGTCTTGCAGAAAAGGGCCAGCTGCAGGGGAGTGGGGGGTGGCAACAGTGGGCAGAGGTCCACGCAGACCCAGGGGCCTTCTTGGGAAGCCCAGGGCTTCAGCTCAGTGAGCAGGAGGGCCTAAGGGGAGCGGGGCTTCACTTCTGGGGGGCACTCCAGGGTGCCTGTTAGGCTCCCTCTGGATCTGCCAGCTTGGGTGGGCCCCTTTCCCACTTCAGTAAGCTTTTCAGAGCCCACAGCCACCTCACCTCTCCCCACCTGCTCCCCCACTCTGTCCGGTGCCCCTGCCAGCCCACCTTACCCGCCTCGAGCCCCATACCTGCACTTCTTCGTGGCTGTGCCGCTGCCCTGGGCTGGGCTGGTAGGACCTGCTGGGGTGGGACACACCCACTGGCGCGTTCAGCGCACCCCTCCCGGCCCCCCCGCGGCGGCCAGGGAGGCGAGAGAGGGAACTTCGACCTCAGCAGCCTCTGCAACTGGCCCGAGAAGTCAAGCCCCTGGCAGTGAGTGCCACTCTGTCGCCGGCCCAGGCCCCAACTGCCGGGCCTCCCTCCCTCACCTCGGCCCGCTGCCCCAGCTTCCGGGGGAACTCGGCACACCCACCCGGTGCCGATGACTAACCCAGCGCCGCCAGGCTACTCACCTCCCGGCCCTCCCTGCCTACTCTTCCTCTTCAGTCTGCCAGGTGGGTTTAGCCGGGTCCCCTGTCCTGCCCCATCACAGCAGGCTTCTTTACTCCTTCTGGGTTTTTGTTGTTGTTGTACAGGGGACCGAACTCAGAACCTTGCGCGTGAGGCAGAGGGCAGAAGCACTGAGCTACATCCCTGGCCCTCTGTACCCCTTTTGGGAGGGCAGGGGGTTCAGACGACAGCCCCTTGTCCCCCATGGTCCACTGAGGAGCTGAGCACCGCCCCTCAATAAACGTCACAAGCTGTGCTCAGTAGGCAAAAAGTGAGAGTCTTCACGGTGAGAAGAAAAGTACTATGGCCAGTTTGGGAAACACCAGCTTAGTTTCCATAAACTTCCTAGGTTACTGTACCATGGGGTGAGTGCTGATCCTGCAACTGCGTGAGCGCCCACTAGGGCACACGAGGCTTGTGGGAGGCTTGTTTCTTTGTGCAGTGCTGAGGTTTGAACCAGGCCCTCTTGCACACTAAGTGTTCTATCACTGAGCTATGCTGACAACTGTTTTTGTGCATGAATTTGTGGGGGTGCGTACCTGAGGCCGAACCCAGGCCTTCATGTGGAGCTACATCCTCACCCTTTTAAACATTTTTTTACTCTGAGACAGGACTTCATGAAGTTGCCAGGGTCACCTGGAACTTGCCACCCTCCTGCCTCAGCCTCCCAGAATGCTGGACTCTCAGGTGTGTACCACCACACCTACCTTATTTGTGTGCATGGCTAAATTTTTCCATAATAAATAAGCTTTTTTTCCTGCCGTTAATTACTGTTGAGTTTATAAAGATAGAAATTCTAAGCTTCTCCCAGGAAGCACTTTGGGAAGTGCCAACCTCTTGAAGGCCATTTGTAGTTGCAGCTCAGTGCACGTCCTCAGCATTTGTCAGGATGCAATGCCTCCTCACTCTGGGTCTGGCCAGTCCAAGCTCCAGGCTGAACTTCCAGACCCTCCCTCCTGGTGAAGCACCAGCCACTCCCTACTCCACCTCTGGCCTTCGCCCTGCACTCATCCAGATGCCTCCCTCAGACCAGCTCTCCCACTATTGGTTTCCCACCTCCCAGCACAGGGCTCTTCCCCAGCCCCTTCCCCAGACCCTCCCTACGCTGCCTGCTCATCTGCAGGCAACCCTACACCCTGGAGACAGGACCAGTGCCTGGGTGTGGGGCAGGTGGGGCAGCAGTGCCAGGGACGGAGCTCAAACCACAACAGGCCACACGGGCAGAAAATCATCACTTTATATAACAACATTCACGAATTCAGGTGAGCTCCCCTCAGGGAGCTGTGGCACTGCTACCCCAGCCCAGGGAAAACATGAGCTAGAAGAGACCCAGGAGGGGCAGCACAGAAGCAAGCGACAAAGGTTTCAGAGCAGTGGACAAGAAAGTGGAAGGTCGGCAGGGTGGGGACAGGGTGGGCCCAGCTCATCCAAAGTGGCTTAGAGCCAATGTGCTGAACTCCTGGCTCCACCGAAGCACGAGGTCCTCCCCTTTGCTTGGGCTCAGCACGTTGTAGGTTTCATTCTGCATGCACCGCATGCGGGACACCTGGGAAGGGATGGAGCTGTGGTCAGTGTCCCAAGCCAAACGCCCACAGCATGAGGGCAGGAGGTGCGGGCAGTGAAGAGAAAAGGAAACTTGGAGGAGACAGCAAATGGCCCAGCCCCTTCTCAACAGGAGATGAGGAGCTGAGGCTCAGAGGGGAAGTGACTGATCCTAAGCTACCTGGTGAGTAAGAACAGGTCAGACAGAAACACCAGATTCAGTTCCTGTCCTGCTGAGGGTTCTACCTGCTGTGCCCTCGGGGCCTTCCCGCCTCTGGGCAGCAGAAGTCCTCTTGGCCTTGCTGCCTGGGAGACCTCTTACTTCAGGACTGCAACAGCAGAGGCTGCCTCTGTGGAAGGATCTGCCCCAACATGCAAGGAAAGTACTGCCTCCCACAGCCCTGACCAACTGGAAGAAGGTGGGAACAGGTGGAGGGGCTCACCTTCCGGTTCCGGTGTTTCATCAGGCACTGCTGGCTTTTGAAGGAACAGTAATTTGGGTACTGGATGTAGTCAGTGTCGCAAACCTAAGCCAGGGGCAGGGAGAGGGGATCAGCAGAAGCCAGGCAAGTCACGTGCTCCCAGAAGGTACCCATGACACAGTGCCAGAGGGAGGCAGGCAGGTCCCTGGGGAATGCTTCCTCTCTGAGAGCAGGCCAGTCTGCTCCCAACTCTGGCACAGGTCACTGGGAAGAAGCCAGGCGTCTGGAAGAATCAAAACAGCTGCCTACTGTCAGTGTGCAGAGAAGGGGACTGAAGAATGAAAATGGAGTGGGGTGGTCAAGGGTCCAGTACACCTGTGATTGAGCGCTTGACTGGTACCGGGGATCGAACTCAAGTCCTCACACTTACGAGGCAAGAGGCAGAACCACTGAGTTAAATCCCCAGCCCAGAATCACCCAATTATGAGCAGTCCAAACATCATGGTCCTTCTGGGCACAGAAACTTTAGCAGAGGCAAAAGAATCGCTGTGTGGCAGTGTGTGAATTTCTTGCTTCTCTGGGCCTCGACATCCATCTATAAATCCAGAGGAGTGACAGAAAGGGCCCCCAGGCCCCTCTCTAGATCTAGGGCTCCAGGCATAAGATGAGGCATGGCCACTCAACTCAGCTACCAGCCCCTTCTGTGTGTGTGGTTCGCTGCATTGTGTTTGCCAGTATCTTACTGAGGATTTCTGTATCTATGTTCATTAGGGACATTGGCCTTGTAGTTCTCTTTTTTGGTTGGATCCTTCTCTGGTTGTGGTATTAGGGTAATGCTCGCTCCCCTTTCAATTTCATTAAAGCATCTGAGAAGTATCAGCATAAGGTCTTCCCTGAATTTCTTGCAGAATTCAGCAGTGAATCCATCAGGGCCTGGGCTTTTCTTTGTTGGTAGGTTTTTAATTACATCTTGAATTTCATTGACTGGTACTGGTTTATTTCGAATTTTTATATCTTCTTGAATCAGCTTTGGTAACTCATATGTATGCAGGAATCTGTCCATTTCTCTGTGCTTTCCATCTTATTAGAATACAGGTTCTCAAAGTAGGAACTGATGATCTGCTAGTTTTGCTTTTTGTTTTTCTGTTACTGGGGATTGAATTTGGGACCTTGAGCTTGTGAGGCAGTAGAACCACTGAGCTAAATCCCCGGCCCCGGCCTCTTAGTTTTTTTGTTTTTTGTACTAGGTATCAAACTCAGGTTCTTGTGCTGTGAGGCAGGCAGCAGAACCACTGAGCTAAATCCCCAGCCCTTAGTTTTGTTTTTTTGTTTTGCTTTTTGGGTACTAGGAATCAAAGTCAGGACCTTGTGCTTGAAAGGCAAGCACAGCACCACTGAGCTAAATCCCTGGCCTTTTTCTTTTCCATTAAGTTTATTGGTACATTTTAGGTATATAATATGACATTCATCATTGAGAATTTGTACCTTTACATGATATATCTCGATTCTTTTTCCCTCATTTCCCTACCCTCCCTTCAACCCCTCCCACCCCTCTCTATTTTTAAAGACTTTGTTTCAATTTTTTCCTTTTTCCCACCTTCAGTTCCCCTTCCCCTTTAGACCTTTTCTTCCTATTTCATATTATCTATTATACACTTTTTTTGGGGGGGGTACCAGGGATTGAACTCGGGTCTTTGCACTTGCAAGGCAGGCCACCAAACCGCTGAACTAAATCCCATGCCCTCTATTATACATTTTGATCCTTATTTACTTTCAGTTTCTCACACCAGAGAAATTATTCGGTATTTATACATGTGTCCTACTTATTTCACTTAAGAGTATCGCCTCAATTTAAGTAAGAATGTCTCTAATTGCTCATTCTTCGTGACTGAGTAGTACTCCAGTCTATAAAAAAAAACCCCACATCTTCTTTATCCACTCTCTAGTTGACGGACATCTGGGCTGTTTCCAAGTTTTAGCTATTACAGACTGTGCCACTATAAACATGGGTGCACATATATCACTGTGGTATGATTCTTTTGATTCCTTTGGAAAGATGCCCAGCAGAGTGATAGCTGGGTCAAAGGGATCCTCTAATCCTAGTTCTTTGAGGTATCTCCATATTGATTTCCACAGTGGTTGTACCAGTCTGCATTCCTACCAACAATGGAGAAGGGTTCCTTTCTTCCCACAAACCCACCAACATTTATTGCTGGTTGATTTCTTGATAGCAGCCATTCTTTCTGGAGTGAGGTGGAATCTCAGTGTTGTTTTCACCTGCATCTCTCAAATGACCAGTGATGTTCAATATTTTTTCATGTTTTCTGCTTTTACTTCGTTTGAGAAATATCTGTTTATTTCAGATGCCCATTTTTTTCTTTTTGAGACAGGGTCTCACTATGTAGTTGAGACTGACCTGGACTCACTATGTATCCCAGGCTGGTCTCGAACTCACAGCGATCCTCCTGCTTCAGCCTTCCAAGAGCTGGGATTACTGGCATGTGCCACCACGCCCGGTTTAGATGCCCATTTTTGAATTGGGTCTTTAAATTTGGGGAGGTCTGGTTTTTTAGGTTCTTTATATATTATTATTAGGGTTAGGGTTATTATTATTATTATTTGGTAACCGGGGATTGAACTTGGGACCTTGTGCTTGCAAAGCAGGTGGTAGAACCACTGAGCTAAATCCCCAGCACTTCTTTATATATTCTAGATAGTAGTCCTTTGAGGAACAGCTGGTAAAAATTTTTTCCCACATGTAAGTTGTCTCTTAGCTCTGTTGGTAAGTTTCTTTTACAGCACAGAAGCTTTTTAATAAGATGAGATCTCAGTTGTTCATTCTTTGTGCTAGTTCCCAAGCTACTGAGGATTTGTTCATAGTCTTTTCTTGTGTCAGTGTCTACTTATCTTCCAGCAAGTTTAGTGTTTAATATTTAGATCTTTGATCCACTTCAATTTTAGTTGAATGCATGGTGAAAGATATGGGTCTAGTTTTATGTTTTGGCAGGGTGAAATCCAAGTTTTTCCAGCACCATTTATTAAAGAGGCTATCTTTCCTTTAGTGAGGGTGGTTGGCTCCTCTGTCAAAGATGAGGTGGCTGAGTATGTTTGCAGTAGTGTCTGCACCTTCTAATCTATCCACTGATCCTTGGATCTGTTTCTTTGCCAGTACCATGCTGTCTTTATCACAGTGGATTTGTAGTAGTTTCGTGTTGGGGATTGTGATACCTCCTGTCATGTCTTTGTTCTTTGTTGCCTAGAATTGGTTTTGCTAGTCTAGGTGTCTTCTGGTTCCAAATTAATTTTTGGATTTTTTTTCCTTTTTTGGTCAGGTTGACTAAAGGTTTATCAATTTTATTTAATCTCTCTCTCTCTTGGGGGGGTACTGGTGTTTGAACTCAGGACCTTGCACTTACAAGGCAGATGTGGCACCACTGAGCTAAATCCCTGGAAATTTTATTTAATTTTATTTAATCTTTCAAAGAACCTTGGATTCACTGATTCTTTGTATTATTTTCTTAGTCTCCATTGCATTAATTTCTGCTCTGATCTTTTTCCTCCCTTGTACAAGCTTTGTGCTTGATTTGCTCTTCTTATTCTAGAAGTTTCAGGTTCAACATTGGGTTGAGCTCACTCTGTTTTTCTGATATGGGAATTCACTGCTATAAACTTGTCTCATAGGACAAGTGTCATTGCATTCCATAAGTTCTAGTATATTGTACTGGAGTTATCATTTAATCATAGAAACAACTGTCTAATTTCTTCTTAATTTCACCTGTGACCCATTGGTTCTTCAGGAGGGTGTTATTTAATTTTCATGTGTTTGTGAAGTTCTTGTGGATAATTTGCCATTGATTTCCAACTTCATTGCATTATGGTCTGATAATATGCACAAAACAACTTCAATTCCTTTGCATTTACTTAAGCATATTCTATGACCTAATTTCCCATGTGCAGCTGAGAAGAATGTGTATTCTGATGTAGGGTGGAACACTCTGTTGACATCTATTAAGTCCATTTGTTCAAAAGTTTAGTTCAGTTCTAATTTTTATTTTGTTTTGTTTTTTTGTTTTTTGGTACCAGGGATAGAACTCGGGTCTCTCTACTTGTGAGGCAGGCAGCAAAGCTACTGAGCTAAATCCCCAGCCCGTCAGTTCTAATTTTAAAAATTTTTTTCTCTCTACTTGATCTATTGTGACAGTGGGGGTAAGGTCCCCCAGTATTAATGCCTATTTGATTTTTCATGTCCAGTAATATTTTTTATGGTTAGGTATGCTATCTGGTGCATATATATACTTATGATTTAATCTCTTGCTCTTCGATTGTTCCCATCACAAGGATGAAGTGACCTTCTTCATCTCTCTTAATCAGTCTTGGCTTGAAATCCACTTTGTCAGCAAATAGAACAGCTAACCCTTGCTTTTTTTCCAGTTTCCTACCACATGGAGTTTTTTCCATCCTATGACTTTCAGTGTAGGAGTTTGAATTAAATGTGTTTCTTGAATGAAGCATATTGTTGGATCTTGCTTCTTGATCCATTCTACCAGTCTATTTCTTTTCTTTCTTTCTTTTCTTTCTTTTTTTTTTTTTTTTTTTTTTTTTTTTTTTTTTTTTTGTACTGGGATCAAACTTGGGACCTTGTGCTTGTGAGGCAGGCAGTGGAACCACTGTGCTAAATCCCTGGCCCTGGTCTCTTTTGATCAGTGAATTGACACTATTTACATTGATGGTTATAAGTGATATATATTGACTTGACTTTGTCATGCTATTTTCCTGTTGCTGGTTGCCTTTTCTCCTCACCTGCCTGCTTGGGCTGGTGGATTCATTCTCTTGGGGATAATGGAGTTGTAATCTCTTTCTAGACTGTCCTTTAGAACATTTTGGAGTGCTGGTTTGGCGGTTATAAATTTCTTCAGGTGTCCTCTTTTATGGAAATCTTATATCTCTACCAATTTTGAAAGATAGTTTTGTGGGGTACATCAATCTGGTTGGAGGAGGTTTTCCTTCAGGGCTTGAAATACTTCACTCCAAGCTGTTCTTGACGAGGTTTGTGTTGAGAAGTCTGCTGTGATTCTGATGGGATTTCCTTTACAGATGACTTGTTTCTTTTCTGTAATAGCTTTAAATATCCTGCTCTTGTGCTGAATATCTAAAATGTTGACTATTATGTATCTTGGTATATATTTTTGTTTGTTTGTTTTGAGACAGGGTCTCACTATGTAGTGAGACTGACCTGGAATTCACTATGTAGCTCAGGCTGGTCTCGAACTCACAGTGATCCTCCTGCCTCAACCTCCTGAGTGCTGGGATTACAGGCGTATGCCACCATGCCCAGCTTTTGTTTGTTTTTTTTTTGAGATAGGGTCTCACTATGTAGTTGAGACTGACCTGGAACTCACTATGTATATAGCTCAGGCTGGTCTCAAACTCACAGCAATCCTCTTGCCTCCGCCTCCCAAGTGCTGGGATTACAGGTGTGCGCCACCATACCCGGCTAGATTTTTTTTAAATCATTGGTAATTAAAGTTCTATATGTTTCACTTATCTGTATGTCAAATTCTTTTTCTCTGCTTGGGAAGTTTTCTGCCATTACTTCTATGTACAGGTTTTTTATGTCATTTGCACTATATCTCCTGTTTTTTCATTGACTCAGGTTGATCTCATGTTATTGTTCTCTGCATCATCTAGTAGCTGTTGGATTGGGTTTTTTTTGTGTGTGTGTGGTACCTTACTATTTTTAAAAAATCTTGCTTTCCTGTCTCCTATATCTGACATTCTGTCCTCACATTAGCTCATTCTGCTGCGTATATTCTAATTCTTATTCTTCTGCAATTTTTAATCTCCTGGGTAGCTGTTTGCATCTGTTTCATGGATTCCATTATTTCTTTTCACTATTTAGTGTTCATAGTTTCCATCATTTTCCTAAGCTCCTCTATTTTTTAATCTGTATCTGCTGTAGAGTCACTAAGCATGTCTCTCATTATGGTCACCATCTGTAGTTATCTGAGAAACTATTTGTGCTTTGATTTTTTCTAGAGCCTCATTTATCTGCTTTGGTGGCTGAGTTTCAAGGTGTTCCACTTCACTGTCCCTGGGTTTGCCTTTGGTGAGCTGGAAGTTTGGAGCTGCATCATGCTTAAGTGTCTTCTCATTTTCTTTTTTCTTTCTTTTCTCTCTCTCTCTCTCTCATTTAATTCCTGAATGGATGTTTGTAGATTCCTATTACAAGTGGCTTTATTGCTAGTACTTAGAACCGTTAGGAAATTACTACTTCTCAGAGATGTCTTCCAGGTGTAGCTAGCTTTTGGGTTTTGAGTCTATTGCAAGATCCTATATCTTTGATTTATTAGGCATGAAAGGTTTCTATTTGACCTAGACCTTGGTTCTCTGACACTGTCCTATAGCATTGTTTAGGACCCTTAGGTAATCTCAGTTTTGGGATACCAGGAAGAACAACTGATTACAACCATTTGTTACCTTGGCTAAAGTAGTACACTCAGCAATAAAAACAATGTCAAACACAGCCCAGAAAATGACAAACTGTGGTAACTTTTTTTTTTTTTTGTACCAGGGATTGAACTCAGGACCTTGTGCTTATGAGGCAGAAGGCGAAACCACTGAGCCATATCCCTGGCCCAAACTGTGCTAACTATTAATTTGCCACTTTTGTCTTTATATACTAGATTCGTGGTTATATAACAAAATATAAGACTGACCAGAACACTGCATACAATAAATATCACCTCAGTTCAGTGATTTTATCCTCAGGGAGAAAATTTTAAAAGGGCTAGGGGTAAAACAACAGAAACAGGGCCACGGATTTGGCTCAGTGGTTCCGCCACCTGCCTCATAAGCGCAAGGACCTGAGTTCGATCCCCGATGCCAAAAAAAAAAAAAAAAAAAAAAAAAAAA